GTGTTTATTTTGGACGTACATGGATTCATTTGGCTGAAAAATCAAAAAGAAATACATATTATAATAATTGGACGTTCTCTCCAGTGATCAAGTATTGCTGCTAGCGCTTGCTATCTAACAATAAAAATTTATTTCTCAAACAACTGAAATTTCTGAAGTTATAACATTTGAAACTAACCATTCTAAAATTAGAATTAGAGTTTTGATGAACAAGATAGACGAAGTATGATTAATTTTATCGCTCATAAATTTTAAACATGTGATAAATACAAATATAAAAGTTGTTTCTATAGTTGTGTATGGTTTCTATTTCTATGTAGAAAATTTTTTTATTTTATGTCTCCCTACTGAATTTTTTTTTTTTAAAATAATTTTATACTTTATAACATATAACAAAAAGGTTTGTCTACCTACCACTGTCGGTTATTGTCATTTATTTGCTAAACGACAACAACAAAGGTATAATTTTATATAAGAAAATGAAGTAGAATTTTAATTTTATTTTTTAACTTATCCACTTGACTTATAAGAGAAAGTATAGTAATCAACTTAAAACGGATATTTTCTTTTTTTCTTCTATCACGAGCAAAGTTTCGATACAGAAAAAAAAATATTATCACAAAAATAGAATTTAAAGTGACGATTTTGTTATCTGATTATGCGGCATCCATGTATTGGTTTTCCGTTATGTTTAAAAACGTTTGATAATGGTTATGTTCTTCGTGCTCATCTAGTCGGATGTGAACGTGCACAAAAGAAAATACAAAAAGAAATGGCTGTTCGTGAGGTTGAATATTCAATTAAATTTGATTATAATCTTAGTGGCATTAAAACAAACAAATATTATCCAGGAAATGCTACATTAGATCATTCAAATAAATTTCTTATTAAAGATAAATATCAATTAACACCTCTTGTCGATAATCAAAAAATACAAAAAATAAAACGAATACGACAAGCGCCTGATCCATCACTCTGTCATACTCAAACTCAATCGGTATCAATGGATTTTAGTGGATATTATACATAATATTTTGGATAACTCTGGTTATAAAACTCTACAAGTGAATATTAGACTCATTCAAAATAATATGTAAGAAATAACATGTTTATTTATCTCTCAAAAATAGTCGAACTATACACGAAGTATGCCTTTTTTCTTTTCAAATATAAATTGACTTTTTTAATGTTAAAGGTATACACATGTAATACATGGTAGCTATATCACTACGTTTTATTTTACAACTTATAAAGTTTTCGACATAGTTGGAAGATTAGACATATAAAAAAAAAAAAGAAGAAAGAAAAGGGAGAATTTTTTTTTGTACAAAAAGAACTTTGAATAGGTATTAGAACAAAAATGGAAGGCAATAAAGAA